ATAGACCTTACTCCAACTTAACATACATCAGTCGATAAAGGTGATCAACATAATAACAAATAACAGACAACAACACCATCCTAACAAGAAACTTATTAGTCGATATTTCCAAAGACAACCTCAGCCTGACAATGTAACTTATGCAATTACCTAAAGGCATAAATAACAACGTGATGACCAAAAAAAAAGTGGATGAAAGTATTTAATTAATTACATGTTAAAGCTTTCACACAAGTTGTTGAGTAACATATCACATTTTGTATTTGTTCTAAACAATGCTCTAGTCTAACTTTGAAATGGCCTTTCTAGGTTATTGAAACATTCTCTTGGCGCTTTGTCCTCTTGGTCAAGTTCTTCCATGCATTTCTGGAAGATCACATTGTTGCTTGCCCTAGCAGCATTCCATACCAAATCCTTCAAAGCTTTGCCTTTATGTTTTTGCTTGAAGTTCTGATACATGTGTCTAACACAATTTCTATGTTCAGCTTCCGGAAACAAATCTTTCACAACTCTAATCAGACCCTACATAAGAAACAAAGTAGAAACATATGTATTTTAAACAGAAAAAAAAAAAAAAAAAAAAAAGATATAAAAGATTTTTACTCACTTTTTGCCTGTCAGACATAAAGGCAATGTGGTGACTATTTATGATGTCTAAATCATATCCAAGATTGTCAATAAACCAACTCCATGTTTCTTTACTCTATGTTTCAGCTATCACAACATAAGCAACTGGAAATATACAATCATTTGGGTCTATTGCCACGACAGATAATAAATTTCCTCCGTATGTGCCTTTTTGCCAACAACCATCTAGGCTAATTAATGGCCTACAACCTGATTTAAAAGCTTCCTTGAGTGCTCTCATACACAGGTAAAATCCCAAGAATTTTCCCCCCATCTCTCCAAATTACAACATTAGATCCAGGATTAGATCTCAGCAATTCAACTCTATACGATAGTAGCTTGCCATATTGAAAACCCTCATCACCATAAATCCATTTTAATGCTTGATTTTTAGCCCTCCAAGCCTTCAAATTTTCTATAGTATAATCAAAGTCCTTCCTTACTATTTCAACAATACCACTAATGTTCCAACCTGGATTAGCTTTAAAAATATTCAAATACTTTCTAGCATTTGGGAGATAAGTGGAAATTATCAACACCTTAGCACCTTTATGTTTCAGATAAAATGACTTGATCTGAACAGTTGGATCACACTTATTCACTTTACTAGTATAAATTCTAAAGGGGCAGCCATCAACCTTACAAATACAAACCACCATCTGTTGATCATTGGGTTTAAAAGGTAACTGCCTTCTTTTTCTAATACCCAATTCCCTACAAGCTTCTTTGAATTGCTTGAAATTCTTAAACTTCATCCCTAACGCAAATCTAGGGAAATTCTTGTTTTTACCTTCATAATATTCTTCATAGATATTATTTTTCTGACCATTGTTTTCTCCTTTATCAGATTGAACATCATCATCAGGCAATTCATCTGAATATGCATAATCAGATTCAACATCAACATTTTGTAGAGGTACCAAAATTTCAGAGCTAACTGGTACACTGACACTTGCATTTTTGGGTCTTCCTCTATGCTTCTTGACTTGTTGATCGTCAATAAGAACTTGTTGATCGTCAACAAGAACTTGTTGATCATCAATAACATCCTGGAAATCGTCATCTTCATCGGACAAATTATAGTCTGGATCACTAAACTCCTCATCCACTTCATTAGTTACATCACCTCTAATACCTTGTAAAACAACTTTCGTTGAATTTTCCTCAATTAAAAAGTTTTTGTCCACACCATTATCCTCCCTATTATCAACTATTGTATCTTCAATGTCGATATCGCTAACAACTTCCAAATAGTTTGAAAAATGCAGTTCTAAAGTCTTTGAAGTTTCAGGAAAACATGAACCAGAACTCTGAAATAAAAAAGATAGAAAGAATACTTAGCATTAAATATTTACTTCATACTAATAATAGTATAATCATAAAAAATAAACAAGTCACTCTTACAAACGAATAAATATTAATCCATAATAATAATTTATAGCCTGAATGAAAGAAAAAACCATATAGGCTAAAGCATGAATTTTTAATTTTAGAGCACTGAAATGGATACTAAGGTTTCAAAGACATTAGATAATCACAACCTGGTACACGAAATCACCAATGAACTAACCTCCTCTAAATACAGGGGAAAAAAATTAGAATACAAAAAGCCCTAAACCCATTTCGAGATTCTACAATAAAAGGACAATATAGTTAAAAATTTATATTTTTTACCTCGTTTTGAAGTAGGATTGGTTTAGCAAGCACGTAGTGGTCCCTTTCATCGGTATTAGAGGCTTGTGGGTGCGGGGGGGAGGGGGACCATTCTTTTACAGATTTCATCACATTATTTCTCGAAGAAATGAAGGAATTCATTGTTTATGAAAAATTTCAGCATCAATAACCTTTAAATAGACTTTACAACACCTCTTTGTGGATGAGAATTTTGGGAGAAATAGAGAAAGAAGTAGAAGAAGGAAGCGGGAGATTTGGGCCGAAATAGGGTTTTACTGTTTAAGATGAAGACAAGACAACTTATGGGTGGGTTGGTATATTGATAAATTAATTTTACAATTTTATTTATTTGTGGGGTCCACGATGACATGTCATAAAAAATAATCTATTTTGCCAAGTCAGATTTATTTTGGTGATAAATATAGTTTAATGATTTTAGAAGATAAAAGTGAAGTTGAGTGATTTTAGTGATACAATATAAAGTTTAGTGACTTTACAAAATAATTTCTCATACTTCAGTGACCTTTTAAGATATTAACTCGTATTACTTGGGTCATTGTTTGCCTTATAGGCACACTGCGATGTTTAGCAGTTAGACAAATATTCACATTTTTTATTTAGAAAATACAAAAATAAATAGGACATTGCAAATAAGAGAAAAACATCACATAATATATAGAAACATAAAACAATTGCAACAACGTAACCAAATAATGCAATAATTGATAGTAACAAAAATCGTAGGACAAAATACTACTACTAGATGCACCAAACTATCGTCAAGCATATCTTGCAAGAAAGTGAGAAAACACTCACTATCTAATAACTTTCTATCTGAATTTGTAATTTCCATATCCTCCTATCTAATAAGGTTATGTCCTAAATAAACTAAAGATGCATTATTTTCTGTCTAATTATCTATTCTCAATACTGATCCGCCCTACATCTACCTCTCCTTAATTATTATAGTCCGCCTATGACTTCTCCTCACCAAGACATCTACTTTTAAGGCGTTGTGCACCTTCTTATAATCTATTTGTATCTACTTCTATGTTTGTGTATATTCCTACTACATTATGACTTATGAGAGTCACACACATGAAGAACTTATCAGACGATACACGATTGTGAAGCGTTCAAGTCCAAGTCAGGGTCTAATTACAATGACGAAATAAATCGCAATGGCTGAATAAATTTAGTCACATCCTTTAAAGACCTTCTCGCACACAAAATGATAGTCAAGCTCAACATATTTGGTACGAGCATGAAACAGTACAGGATTAGTGCGGTGAACTTCGATGCCCAAAAAATAATGAATATTCCCCTTGTCCAGTTGTTCTTGAGTGCAAACTAAGTGCTTAATTTATTGACGAGCCTAGATATTAAGGATTGCTCCCAGTCAATAATATGTCATCTACACAGAGGAGAGAAGTATGGGGACACCTTCATATGAGTGGAGCACAAATAGAAATGAATCAGATTTACTTCAAGAGAATGCTAAGTGAAGAATGTAAAAGCTGAATTTTTCAAACCATACTTTGGGAGCTTGTTTCAAGTCGTAGAGTGCTCTCTTAAGCAGACAAACGTGATTTGGATAGACATGATCGACAAAGCCCAGAGGTTGTACCATGTGCACCTTCTCTTTGAGAAAAAGGATAAATATGCCTCATTTGTTAGATAACCAAAGTATGTACGCACCATTTGTTAAATGGTGAGGGTATATGTGTTAGCCTAACACCTTTTTAATGAAGGTATATCCACCATAATTACAAAGTTAAAAGTGGTATATTTACCCCTTTTCCCTTTTTAGTATATATTACTTTAGACCAATTGCCAATTCTCAAAACTTCGGGGTTGGATTCTAATGTTATATAGTCGATCTTTAGATTAATCATCACTGAACGTAAAAAGGGTTTATATATTAAAGAAATAAAACTGGGATCATCCCCAACTGCCTCTTGATCAAAAGCCTTTTAATTAGAGGCCCAGCATAACTTACTTGCATGTATGACTTGCTGTTCCAAACTACCAACACAAATAGGTATAAGAACCCAGCTGGTTTTAGGAAGGTAGATTGTAAATATTACAGAATCTGCTTTAGGGATTTGAAATCTATGAATATCATCACTAAATCTAAATAGCATGGATCTAGAATATTGACACCTTACGGGGGACATGACCTGAAATCATTTGACATTATTGTACAGCAAAGAGTAGTACTAGCATTTCACAATAATGTACGACTACCAAAGGGTAGTATTTCACGAAAACAAAGTGACCTCAGCCTACAAATTACAATAATGTCCAGTGAGAATATTTGATTTACAGAACATGAAAATATGTTAAACACACCCTGTACGTAATTCAAATCAAGTAAAGTTCAAGCCACAGACAGAGAGTATCAAATGTTATTACAAAACTACAGGAGATGAGTGTGACCATCAAACGGCGAGTCCGACCTAGACCTACTGAAGCTGGAAATAGAGAAACTCGCATGATTAGACATCGACTAGAAATGCACATTGCGAGAACAAAAGGACAGCCTAGTGACAACTAACAAAGACCTAAACAAGCAATGATTTCATACACAAAATTAGAAATTAGAACAAGCACGTGATTCTTCAATCTACTTTGCTTTCTTGATGAGAGTTGTTGTCCTGAATTCACTGTCATCCCGCACAAAGTTCCACCACAAGTAGGTCAGAGGAATGGTGGTGGCATGCCATAGAGCATGGGCATCCACAAATCCCCTATAGGGAGGAAAGTCATATATCTCAAGGAGTGCAGCAAGAGCTCCACCAATCACCACCACCCACAATTTCCAGCGTGATGGATGGCGAGTAGCCCCTGCCCAGACAGCCCATAAGATGAGCTGCAGAGTTCCCATACCCAAACAGACTTTCATGTTTAACCCTGCAATGTGATCGAGCAACATCAACTTTCCTACTCTACAACACTCAGACACATTCATGAAATCGAAAGAGCCAAGACAATCATACAGTATTGTTACTTCAAAAAAGTGACACAAGGCAAGTATCAACAATTAAAATTGGAAGTCAGAAGAAATTCAGCCGTCTGTAACATATTTTCTTTCTTCAGTTCATACACAAATTGCTCCAACAGTTTCAGCATTTTCTTATCATTATTTTATTTTTGACATACAAGTCAAAAAATAATTCACAAGCACCTACAGTTTTTTTTTCTTAAGGTACAACACATAAACTCAAAACTAGACCACATAATGTTCCAAATAGTGTTAACAGATTTAGGCCACAGAATGTAATAAGTTTATGGTAATTAGTTCAGTTAATAAGTCTATTGTTACGTATGGAGTAACTAATATTTTTGTTATTAGGATAATAATATTGCTTTGATCCCATAATTATATGAACAGAAAATAGAACCAAAATCTTTCAAATATGTGATGCCTACTGATCATTGAGAAGTAAACAAAGTTAAAAATTCAAAATGAGAAGGATAAAGAAGGTAAAATAGAACATGTTTGGGAAACTAATAGTGTTGATTGATGTTACAAACTAATTTTGTATAAATTGCAAACTTATTTGCTGTATTTTTTTTTTAATTAGCAGGAGATTGTACAGGGCACACTTTATCATGAGCATGCAATATACTATATCAAGTAATTGTGAAGTTGACATACCATAGTCAAGCTGGTAACAGTTCAGATACAAGATGTGGGTTGTCACAAATGCAACAAGCGGAGCAGAAACCATGACTCTTGCTGCCTCATCAGTCACATTAAAGACTCGCAATACAGCCAGGATGAGAGAAAAACCCAACAATGCAACGGCAGACGAACAGTCTAGCTTCTCTGTCAAGTCTACGTATCTACAAAATTGCAAAGCATCAGAACATGGAAATTCACAAATGGAGAAACCGTAAGCTATTTGAGAATTAAGAGAACAGATGATGTGTTGATGACTTGATAATTTGATGAATACAAGGTGCAGCTATTTACAAGTGCCCCCAAGGCCTTGGTCTAGTGGTAAGAGAGCATAATTCACACATCACGGGTTCAAACACTGTGCAAGACAAAGCCGGTATTTAAGGGAAAAGGGAGAGGGTGGACCCATTATCCGCTGCGTGCGCCACTGCTCTGGCCCTCGGGGATTTTTCGGTTATCAAAAAAAAATGTACACCTATTTAGAAGTGCCAAATAACATATGGGCAGTATCGAACTTAGGAACTTAAAAGTTCTAATATCTCAACAGAACCCTAAAATTTAATTGGAAAACCAATCTACTTAATTTGACAACACATAAGAGCAAACAACCTTTGTAAGAAGTCACTTGAATAGAATCGGAATCATTAGGAAAAAAATCACTTTGATGGTGCCATGGAGAACTGTGTGAAAATCATTGGAAAAGCCTAGCCACTGGGATCTTATAGGAAAGTTCAGGTCGCCTAGATGTTGCTGGAAAGTGCCAAACAATGGTTGGAATCATCACTGGACGAGTTGCCAGAACAATAGCATTCCCCAACCATTAAAGTAAAGGCTCGACGAAGGGAGGGAGGTGCGGCAGGGGAAGGTAAATATTACTATATTATTTCTTCCCTCTCTTCTTCTTCCTCCCTGACTTCATACTCGCTCTAACCCAACAAAAAGGGCAGAGTTCCATTTGGTGGGTGGGTCCTCCATTTTTTTTATAGGACCTGAAGGCTAGGCTAAACCTCCCTCAAAGGGATTCCTGAGCGGAACTCTTTTTCAAAGAACGTTGTCGAGGACACGTCTGAAGAGGAGGCGGGCGCCCTCTAAGTTGACCACCCTACCCACTAATGGACTATGAGGGGGGGGAAGGCGAACAGGAACCGACCGAAAACCCGAACCGCTTGACTGACCCCTTCATAGTCCATTCATTAAGGTTGGGGATGGGGCCATTGATAAAGAATCGATGGAAAACCACAATGCTAGCAGATGGCGGGCCTCCGCTTTTCTTTTCATTAATGAAACCCCAAAAGAAGGGGTGCCACTAATATGCTCATTAGAAAGAGGTGTCATCCTGCCATGACAGTCACCAGACGATATTGTGTTAAACAATGAAACTAGTGAGGCTTCAATCAAAGCTCGAGCTATAGAGAAGCACTTCAGCAAGTAATATACATCCATTGCAAGTAACCAGTAATATAGGAGTGAAGTTGAAGTGAGATTAGATGGGATTGAGGTACCTAAATGTAGACAATCTAGAAACATGGACTTAATTGTAACACCCCAAAAAATTTTAAGCTAAGACCCAAACTATTCTTCGTATGTGTATAGGCCCGAACTGGGTGATTCCTAATTGTGCAAAGCTGTTAAGGTCAATTCTTTAGTGTGGGGAGAGTTTTGGAGATGAATTAAGGTCATAAGAATCCTCTAGCACAAAGTTGAGTTGAAAGTTTCTTTACCGATTGAGTTTCGCTGTAAGCTTTTACTTGGGTCAACTTCATATAAGCATATGTCTTATAAGATAAATAGTTATGTGTCCCATCACCGACCAAATTGAAGGTCTTCGAGCCTTTAGTGTTAGATAATTCCTCCGTACGAAGTATTGAAATATTATGGACCCAAACAAAGCATTTATGATGATGAGGATTCATACAGCCGACCCCAACTAGCTTGAAATTGAGGTATAATTGTTGTTGTCGTAATTTAACAAGATAGAACATTATCACAACCAAACAAATATTTCCCCAGAAGAAATGGTGAGGCCATTACTTCTTTAGTAATTGTGCTGAAAAGGTAGACTAGCTTCTTATTACAGTACACCATGCATTGATTCGGGATTGTTTTACTGTGATTAAAAAAACCATACTAAATTTTCATCACAATTACTAAAAGAAGAAATGGGCTCAAACAACACCCAGAATTAAACAGTCAGAGAACTGAACAATTGCAAGCAACTACTTCTATGTACACCAAACAATCTGCCCACTGTGCCCCCTAACAGTTCCATTCATAAGGAGAAGATGGAGAACATAAATTGTTCTCACTTCTCAGACTGTCGTACATCAAAATAATAATTCGCATAAATGCTTTCACAACTATCCATGACCATGCCAGACAAAGTTTGTTATCAGTGAAAAAACCTCATACTTCAGCCAGTAATAATATATTGATGAGAAGCCAATAACCAAAAAGGAGAAACTATATATCTTCAGAAGACAGTTTCAAGCTACTTGATTTATGCATAAATGCTGTACACGAAATGCAGCAATTTTAATCGGAGATCTCTTGCAAAAGAAAGAGAGAGCTATAAGAAAATAGAAATAAACTATATCTCACCTACTGTGGAAAACAATACTCCAGAAGCAGGAGTTCATTGCAAAAACAGCATAGATATGCCACAAGCCGGTGTATTCATAAAATGGCTTTTTGTTTGGCCTAAATGGCAGCTTGTAATTCACAAAAATGAAAAAAGATACCCATCCATGGAATTGCACGGCAAGGTTTAGAGCAGAAAGAGCTGCAGAAACAGGTTCCTGGACATGAAAGACTTAGTTTAGGATACTAACAACAATACAGCCTAGAAGTAGAGTGCTTAACAAGGAGAAAATGCCAACTTAATAGTGTGAAAAACCTGGATTCCATTGACACGCTGAAAAGGCCATTTTCCATGATATTTGACAGGCTTAAGACCAACTTTCTTCCGTTCGTCCTCTCTGGCAAGCATGCAGTGGTAACGACAATCACTAAGGCAGTCCCATTGTTTCCATCTCAGATAAAGTGGTTCCTGTAGATACCATGGACCATCAATGGGAATCCCCCCGGAAGTAAAATTACAATGTTGAGAACATTCGTCCCCCACGCATCCAGTCTTTTCACATTGATCAACACAAGCACTGTAAAACCAGCAATTTCAAAGTCGAAGGGCATGAAGTGAACGTAACATCAAAAGGAAGTGTTGTAGATTAACAACAGAAAATTTATCTTTGGATTCAGCCCATATAACATGCAAATTAGTAAAAGCCAGGTGCTGCCCAACTGCCCAAGACACCAGAAGGTAGACTGAGAAATAGATCAAACCAAGCTAGAGAGTTACACTAAAAGAGTATAGATATGCATTACTTTCATGTATTTCCTTTCTCCCATTAGAAAGAAAACTTACAGAACAATGTGATTCAGAAATTAGAGAAAATATGGTTACACATATATATGGCCCGAGAGTATGCAGACCTTAATAGTTCTTTATTGTGTTCCACGTCCAATGAGAGCCTACCAGATCCAACCTCTCGTGTCTATCAAAGCAAATATGGAATTTCATTTCTTCACTAGCTTTGACACCACACATGAGTTTTGAGAATATGGGCATATGGGGATTCCTTTACCTTAATTTGGCCCCAATTAACAGCATAACATACAGTAGCCTAGTTCGTTGGGATTTTGACAGCGTGTCACAATTGGTGAACTTATGAACCATGAAGAACTAGAAATACAGAGCAATGACTTGCATCAAGTTATGTCTCGACACAGAAGCAAGAAGCCGTAGTTAAGAGGATTATATAGGTCTTTGAAAGTTGAATGTTATAATTTTGTAGTTGTATTCAATCCAACAAAAAATAAAGGTTTTGAGGAGTAATAATATCTACTTCGTTCACCCTAAACTTTTGGACCATTCCCGATGCCAAATAATACAGTTTTTTTTCATGTGGTAATGGAGGAGGGGAAGAGAGAAGGGGCATTCGACAGGTATCCTCAGTGGAACTGTCATTAGGAGTTAAGATCACCAACCATAGTTCCTGAGGATGACTCCAGTGATTAATAAATACGGACAGACAAAAGAAACTCATGGGCATCAATTCTCTCTATAGTTACTCTTGTTCTCTTTTTTGCAATTCCAATATTTAAATA